GGACTGGTCTCTGGACCAGTGTGGGGGCAGCTCAGACTCTAATCTGGTTTTTTACTCCTGTGTGTTCTTGCCTCCAATATTCACAGCTGCCAGAGCCAGTGAATTTCCTTTTGTGGAAACTGTCATTGTCCTTGTATGCATTCCATAGACAGAGTCTGCTTAGTTGATTGTGTGGATTCAATCTGCAGCTTGTACAGCTGGTGGGAAGATTTTGGGTCATCTTGCTCAGCCACACTCCCCCTGGGTTTCAACTGTCATTTTATCTTCACCTCTGCAGGTGAGTTTTCCACAGGGTTTGCTTCTGAGGCTGCCCTGCTGGACCCCTGCCCCCTGTGAAGACCAGGCATGGAGGTGGCACAGCTGCTTGGGCTGCAGGAGCGCTGGCAGCCCCAGGCACTCAGAGGAGCCAGCAGCTAGGGCAGCAGGAATTACAGTGCTCTCAGGGTTTTACTAGCCTCTGGCATTTCTGTCCCAGTAGAGATCAAGCATAGAGGTGGTACGGTTGTTTGGATCATCAGTGCCAGGTGAGCAAAGGCACAGGTGGCTTTGTCAAGGCACATTGTCAAGCAGATATGGCGCTATTAGGGTGTTTTTGTGTGTGTGTGTGTGTTTTGTTCCCCCGCTAGCCTCTGGCAGCTCTGCCCCAAGAGTGGAGGTGTTGCAGTTGCTTGGATAACGGGGACTCTGGCAGCGCTAAGCGTGCAGGGACACCAACTGCCTCAGCCACAGGAGCTATGGCCCTATCAGAGGATTTTTCCAGCCTCTGTCAGCTGGAAATCAGAGGGCCTCTTTGACTGATCCTTCTTCGTCGCTAGGCCCATTCAGGGACTTAAAGTGTCCTTCTCTGGCTGGGGTCCTTCTCAGCTGTTTGGCACATCAGGCACTTAAATCCCCTCCCCCTGGGGGCCTTGTCTTTTGCTCTGGGGTCTCTCTTGTTCAGCTGCTGGTGCTGGCCCAATGGGGAGAAAGAGGCTACAGTGAGGGCTCCACCCCCTACACATGACTCACCAGTATCGCTTGGCCTTCATGGATGCTGGATTTTCCTCCACAGGCACGTCCCACTGTGATCTCCTCCCTCACATCCCCTTGGGCCATCCACCCTGCAGTCAATAGCAGACCTCGCCCTGGGATTGCTCTCGGATCTGTATACTCCAGCTCCCAACCGCTGTGCTTTCTAAGGGACTTGCATCCCTGTTTGAGGTAAGTATGGCTGCAACAAGGATGGTCTGTGTGATTCTCATTCCATTCAGACTGTCACAGAACAGCCGCTTCACTCTCCACCAGCCTCAAATGTTTCTCCTCCTTCCCAAACAGTTGCCGCGATGTGGGGATCTGACCCCCTGCTTCAGTTCCCCCAACCCCCAGGTGCAAGTGCGGTTCTGCTCACTCTCCTCTTTTCCTCCCATTTCCTTCATCCTACCAAATTTTGTGTGGTGCTATGTATTCTTTTCTGGTGGTCAAGTATTCGTGCCCATTCTCAGCTGGTGTTCTGCAAGATCTTCTGTATTTGAAGGTATATTCCTGATGTAACTGTGAAGAGAGATGTACTCTGCCTCCACCTTCTCTGCCTTCTTGTTCTCTCATGCCACATCTTCTTTACCCATTCATCTATCAATACACACTTAGGCTGCTTCAGTATCTTGGCTATTGTAATAATGCTATAACTAACATTGACATGCATGTATCTTTTCAAATTAGTGTTTGAGGGTTTTTTTTGAGGGAGGGGGGAGGCATAAATACCCAGAAATAGCATTGCTAAATGATATGGTAGTTTATTTTTAAAACTTGAGAAACCTCCATACTATTTTTTATTGTGACACCACCGACTTACATTCCTGCCAGTAGTGCATAAGGTTTATCTTTTCTCCCCATTCTCTTCAGTACTTGTTATGTCTTGTCTTCTTGATAACAGCCATTCTCATGGGCCTGGAGTGATAGCCTGTGATTTCTTCCAGAAGTTTTATGGTTTCTCAGGTCTAAGTATAAAAATTTAATCCACTCTGAGTTGAATTTTTATACTTTTTGGTGCAATTTTAAATAGGATGATATTCTTAATTTATTTTCCTTTTGGTTCACAGTTACTGTATAGAAACACAATTTTATATATTGATTTTATATCCTCTAACTCCATTGTATTTATTTCTAATGGTTTTAGGGTTTTCTACACATAAAATCATGTTATCTGCAAATAGTGATGATTTTACATTTTCCTTTCTAATTCAAGTCTTTTATTTATTTTATTGCCCGAGTGCTCTGGTCAGGATTCCAATACTATCCTGGATAAAAATGGGGAGAGTGGGTGTGTCTGTTATGTTCCTGACCTAAGATAGCTAACGTTCAGTATTTCAACACTGATTCAGATGTTAGCAGTGGGTTTGTCATAGATGACTTTTATTATGTTGAGGTACATTCCTTCTATATTCACTTTATTGAGAGCTTTTATCATATAAGGTTATTGAAATTTTAACACTCTTTCAACATCTGCATCTTTTCTGCATCAATATGGAGTATATATGGTATTTATTCTTCATTAGTTTATCATGGATTTTCACGTTAACTTCTTTTCAGATGTTAGACCATCCTTGCATCCCAGGAACAAATCTCAGTTAATAATGGTGTGTGGTCCTTTTAAGGTATGTTTTTATTCAGTTGCTAGTATTTTGTTGAGACTTTTTGCTCTACATTTATCAGAAATAATGGACTATAATTTTCTTGTTTTCCTTGTTGTCGTAGTCTCATTTTGGTATCAGGATAAAGTTGGCCTCACAAAATTCAGAAGAATGGTCTTCTCTCTTTTAATTTTTTGGAAGAATTGGGGGAGGATAGGTATTAAATCTTCTTTGAATGTTCTGTAGAATTCATGCCTGAAGCTGTCTCATCCTGGATCTTTCATTTGGGGGAACTTTTTGATTACTGCTTTAATAACTATACTAATAATTGGTCTATTCAAATTTTCTCTACCTTCAGTCTATCGTTGTGTGATTCTAAAGATTTTGTTTATTTTTTCTAGGTTGCCTGATTTGTTGGCTTATAGTTGTTCATAATATTCTCATAAACCTTTGTATTTCTACTGTATTTATTGCTATTTCTGCTCTTTTATTGCTGATTTTTTAAAAGTATGGATCATTTTTGAAGTCTTTATTGAATTTTTTACAATATTGATTCTGTTTTTATGCTTTGGTTTTTTGGCCACAAGGCATATGGGATCTTAACTCCAGGACCAGGCATTTAGCCCATATCCTCTGCACAGGAAATCAAAATCTCAACCACTGGACCACCAAGGAAGTCCCTATTTCTGATTTTATTAATCAGAGACTTGTTTTTTCTTTTTTATTAGTTAGTCCAATAAAGTTTTTGTCAATTTTGTCTATCTTTTCAAAGACCCAGCTTGATTGAACCAAATCATTGATTTTTTTCCATCCTCTTTATAGTTTTCATTTCATTTATTTCTGCTTTGATTTTTCTTATGTTCTTTCTTTTACTAACTTTTGGCTCTTTGCTCCTTTTCTATTTCCTTTAGATGTAAAGTTAGACTGTTTGTTTAGATCTTTCTTGTTCCTTGTTGTAGGAAGGATTACTATACACTTCTCTCTTATTACTGTTTGTTTTATCACAATGGTTTAAGTATGTCATATATTCATTTTTATTTGTATACATAAATTTTATGACTCCCTTGATTTGTAATATTCCAATTGTTAAATAGCACATTGTTTAACACGCATATATTTATGATTTTTCCAACTTTTTCTTATAGTTGATTTATAGTTTCATACCATTGTGATCAGAAAATGCCTGATATAATTTCAACCTTCTAAATTTATTAAGACTTGTATTGTTTCTCAACACATGGACTTGTATTGTTTCTCAACACATGGTCTATTCTTGAGAAAGGTCCATTTGCACTTGAGAAGAATGTGTCCTTCAGATCCAATGTTTCATATAAGGCTACTATTTCCTGTTGACTTTATGTTTCAGTGATCTATTCACTATGTAAGCAGTGTGTTAAAATCCACTACTCTTCTTGCGTTGCTATCAGCTTTCTCCATTTAGATCTTAAAAACTGCCTTATACATATCAGTTCCTCTGTTTTAGATGCAGATACATTAATAACTAACATTAGCTTTATAACTTTGTCTTCATCATTTTTAGGTCTTCCTGAGTTCTCAGTAATAAATAACACCCTCATCCACTCTTTTTATACCTGTTTTTCTATCTTCACGTATGTCACTATGTCACATGATATGCAATATTTATTTGCTTATATTTTTCAGTCATTATATCATTTGCCTTTTGTTTCTCACAATCTTATGCCTAGAAAATGGCCAGTACTCACTGTATGTTCCTCAAATGCATAAAATATTTCTCATTGCAACTGTTTAATGCATGATTCCTAGGGAGAAAGTCTGAAAATCCATACAACAATCTATCTAGGACTACCTGAAGACTTTAGATATCTTTTCCTATTCAGTCTGTATATTTCCTACTCAGTCTGTACAGACTTTCCTACAAGTCTGTATATTTCCTCCCTCTCTAACAGAATTCCTAGTCAGAGATGTTGCAAAACATCTCTTAAATGTTTTATATGTATTTACTTTACATATACATGGTTTAAAATATACGTTGTAGCATTTTAACTAATAATAATTATTTGTGCAAAATTATGTATGTATTTTTTATTCCTAGTCATCAACACCAGCACATGGTACCAGGAAATGACACACAAAATTCAGGATTTCTTCTTCAGGGTTTATCAGTGGAACCAGAACTGCAGTCATTCATATTTGGAATGTTCCTCTCCATGTATCTGATCACTGTGTTTGGAAATCTGCTCATCATCCTGGCTGTCAGTTCAGACTCCCGTCTTCACACCCCCCATGTACTTCTTCATCTCCAACTTGTCCTTTGTTGACATCTGTTTCACTACCACAACAATCCTAAAGATGTTAATAAATATACAGATCCAGAGCAAAGTTATATCCTATGGAGGGTGCATCACCCAGATGTATTTTTACATACTCTTTGCAGCATTGGATGATTTTCTGCTGACCATGATGGCCTATGACCGCTTCTTGGCCATCTGCCACCCCCTGCACTACACAGTCATCATGAACCCCCGACTCTGTGGACTGCTGGTGTTGGTGTGCTGGCTCGTTAGTGCCCTGTTTTCCTTGTTAGAAAGCTTACTGGTGCTACAGCTGTCCTTCTGTACAGACTTGGAAATCCCCCACTTTTTCTGTGAAATCAAACAGGTTGTACTACTAGCCTGTAGTGACACTTTTCTTAGTGATGTCTTTATGTATTTTACATCCGTGCTGTTGGGTGGTGGCCCCCTGGCTGGTATTCTTTACTCTTACTCTAAGATAGTGTTCTCCATACGTGGAATCTCATCACCTCAGGGGAAATATAAAGCATTTTCCACCTGTGTATCGCACCTCTCAGTTGTCTTCTTATATTATTGTTCAAGCCTAGGAGTGTACCTTAGTTCTACTGGTGCCCACAGCTCACATTCAAGTGCAACAGCCTCAGTGATGTACACTGTGGTCACACCCATGCTGAACCCCTTCATCTATAGTCTAAGAAATAAAGACATAAAAAGCACTCTGAAAAGATTCTTTCAGATGGCAGTTATAAAAAGGAAAATTGTTCTGGATCTGAAGAATCATCCTTGAAGAATGATGCAAAACCTTAAAACAAGGAATCCCTATTGTTTGATCAGATTCTGGGTGTTGAACTTGCTATTTGTATTAATTTCTTTAAATTTCCATTTCTTTGATTTGAACACTTTAAACAATTTGTATACTTACTATTTTAAGTTTCCCCCTCTATCTGCTGATTTTTTGTTCATTTTCTTTTGTCCATTTCCCTACTTTTCCATTTTTATTTGTGCATTTTCCTACATTCACAAAGTTTTTTCTCAGCCTTGGAGAAGAAAGACTTGGAAATTTTGATTAATTTTGTGATACAACATGGGTTAATTAAAGATTTTTCTCAAATGACATTTATTATCCTGAATGATTTTAGAAGAACTATAAAAACTGGAAAATGAGTAATAAAATTTCAGTAAGTACATACATATCAATAATTACTTTAAGTGCCAATGGAATAAATGATTCAATAAAGAGACATAAGGTAGCTGAGTGGATAAAAAAGCAAAGCCCATCTATATGCTGGGCTTCCCACGTGGTGCAGTAGTGAAGAAACTGCCTGCCAATACAGGAAATGTGGAAAATGCGAGTTCAGTCCCTGGGTTGGGACGATCACCTAGAGGAGGAAGTGGAAACCCACTCCAGTATTCTTGCCTAAAAAACTCCACTGCCAGAAGAGCCTGGCAGGCTACAGTCCATGGGGTCACAAAGAGTCAGATATGACTGAGCAACTTAGCACACATATATATACTGCATACAAGAGACCAACTTCAGACTAAATTTTCACAAAGAATGAATGTAAGGGAATGGAATGTAAGGGAATGGAAAAGGTATTTTATGTATATGAACATTATAAGAAAGGGGGGTTGTAATATTCATACCAAAAAAAATAGACTTTAAAGAAAATTTGTCTTTATTGCATAAGACAAAGGGCATTACATAATATGAAAGGAATCAACATAAGAGGAGTACATACTAAAAATATTTGCTAACACTATACATCTAGGGCTTCCCTTGTGGCTCAGCTGGTAAAGAACCTGCCTGCAATTCAGGAGACCTGGGTTTGATCCTTGGGTTGGGAAGATCCCCTGGAGAAGGGAAAGGCTACCCACTCCAATATTCTGGCTTGGGGAATTTCATGGACTGTAAAGTCATGGGGTTGCAAAGAGTGAGCGACTTTCACTTTGTATACCTAAGATAAGAGAAACTAAAAGATAAAGCAAATATTCACTTATATGAAGGAAAACAGCAATAATACAAGAACAACAGAAAATGTTAACAGCTCATCTTCATCAATGGACTGATCATCTAGACAGCAAATCACTAAGGAAACAGTGGTCTTAAATGACATTAGAATAGTTGTACTTAATAAATGTATATAGAACATTAAATTTTAAAAAAAGACATTTTTTATAGTGCTTATGGAGTATACTCTAGGGTAGATCACATGATAACCCAGGTAACAAGTCTCTCAATCTTAAAAGTATAGAAACTGCATTATGCATTTTTGGAGCAGAGTGGTATGAAACCAGAAAGCAACTATAGGAAAAAAAATGAGAAAAACACAAACCTATGGCAACTAAAAAGCATATAATTAAAAACCTAATGAGAAAATAAAGAAATCAAAGAGGAAATCAGGAAATATTTCTCAAAAAGAATGAAAATGAGAGCACAAATTTCCAAAATACAAAGGATACAGCAAAAACTTATAAGAGTGATTTTAATATCAACACAAGTGTACCTCAAGGAATAAGGATATTCTCATATAAATCACCTAAGTTACCATCCAAAGGAATTAGGAAAAGTAGAACAAAGAAAGCTCAGAGTCAGTAGAAGGAAATAGTGGTAGAAACTAAATGAAATACAGACCAAAAATTGAAAAGATCAATAAAATTGAGAGCTTGATTTTTATAAAGAATAACCAAAGTTGACAAGCCTTCAGCCAGGCTCAATAAGGGAAAAAAGAGATAGGGAAAAGAAGTAAAACCATCACTGTTTGCAGATGCCATAATACTCTACTACCAGAAAATGACTAGAGTTTATCAAACAATGTGGTGATGCAAAGTTAATACACAGAAATATCTTGCATTCCTATATACTCCTTTTACTTCAAAAGAAAAGAGAAAAAACAAAAAAAAAGTAGCTGGAGGAATTGGGTTCTCTGATTTTAGAGTAGACTGCAAAGCTACAGTAATCAAAAGAGTATGGTGGTATCACAAAACAGAAATATAGATAAATGAAGTAGGATTTAAAGCCTGAACCAGGCACTTCTGGTAAACTAATCTATGAAAAAGGAAGCAAGAATATACAATGGAGAAAAGATGGTCCCTTCAAAAAGTGGTGCTGGGAAAACTGGACATCTTCATGTGTAATTAGAAACATTACCTTGACACACCAAGCATTCTTATTTTGAAGATAGATACTGGAAATATGGCTTCCCAGATGGCTCAGTGGTAAAGAATTTGCCTGCAATGCAGGAGACCTGTGTTCAATCCCTGGGCCTAGAAGATCCCCTGAAGAAGGAAATGGCAACCGGATCCAGTATTCTTGCCTGGAGAATCCCATAGATAGAGGAGCCTGGTGGGCTAAAGTCCATGGGATCACAGGAGTCAGACATGACTCAGCGACTAAACCACCACCACCTAACACCATACACAAAAACAAACTATAAATAGGTTAAATACTTAAATGTAAGGCCAGATACTATAAAAAATCTTAGAGGGAAACATAGGCAGAACACTCTCTGATATAAATCACACTAAGATCTTTTTAGATTCATCTTCTAGAGTAATGAAAATAAAAACAAAAATAAATAGGATCTAATTAAACTTTAAAACTTTTGAACATCAAAGGAGACTATAAAGAAAACAAAACAGCCAGGCTCAGAATGGGAGAAAATATTTACACACAAAGCAGTTTGCAAGGGATTAATCTCCAAAATATACAAAGAGCATATGCAGCTCAATTAAAAAAGAACCCTATCAAAAAATGGTAAGAAGACATAAATAGACATTTCTGAAATGAAGACAAACAGATGGCCAAAAAGCACATGAAAAAATGCTCAACATCACTAATTATTAGAGAAATGCAAATCAAAGCTACAATGAGATATCACCTCACACTGGTCGGAATGGCTATCATCACAAAAGTCTACAAACAATAAATGATAGAGAGGGTGAGGAGAAAATGGAACCTTGCTATACCATTGGTGGGAATACAAATTGATATAGGCAATATGAACTGTGTGAAGGTTACCTGAAAAGCTAAAAATAGAACTATCGTATGACCCAGCAATCCCATTCATGGTATATATCTGAAGAAAACCATGTTTCAAAAAGATATTTGCATCCAAATGTTCACTGCAGCACTGTTTGCAATAGCCAGGACTTAAAAGTAACCTAAATGTCCAGTCAGACATGACTGAGCCACTTCACTTCACTTCATCACTGGATCATTGGAAAATCAAGAGAGTTCCAGAAAAACATCTAAATGTCCATCCCAGGTGGCACAGTGGTAAAGAATCAACCTGCCAATACAAGAGACATAAGAGACGTGGGTTCCGTTCCTTGGTTGGGAAGATCCCCTGGAGTAGGAAGTGGCAACACACTCCAGTATTCTAGCCTAAAAGGTTCCACGGTCAGAGGAGTCTGATGACTACAGTCTATGGGGTCACAAAGAATCAGACATGACTAAGCAACTGAACACATGCACATTGAAATGCTCATCAACAGAGGAATGGATAACAAAATTGGTACATGTATACATGGAATACTACTCAGCCAAAAAAGGAACAAATTTGAGTCAATTGTAGTGAGGTAGATGAGCTCAGATCTTGTTATATACAATTAAGTAACTCAGAAAGACAAAAACAAATATCATATATTAATGCATATACATGGGATCTTAAGAAATGATATTGATGAACCTATCTGCAGGGAAGGAATGAAGATGCAGACATCGAGAATGGACTTGTGGACACAGTGGGGGGTAGGAGAGGGTGGAGCAAATTTTGAATGTAGCACTGACATGTATACATTACTATGTGTAAAATAGGTAGCTAGGGGGAAGATGCTACACATATTTTTTGAAAATTTCCTTCCTGACAGAAAATGACTCTTTTAGGCCTCTTGTTCCTTATCTATATATAGGGAAATTCCACCTATGTAATAGAATTGGTGTATTAAGTAAGAGCAGCTGTGACTAAGTCCCGGGTATGCATTTACTTAGCTCAGTGTGACATCAGAGGACCCCAAGAACAGCAAGTCCAGCATTGCCCCTGTCACCAAGACAGGGAGCTGTGATCTTTCAGGGACGTCTTCTCCCAGGAATCACACATGGAGAAGGATACTTGAGAATCCACTTAATAGCCTGTGTTGTACTCAGGGACATACATTTGACACCTCACATCACTGGATCAATAGGGCTTCCCTGGTGGCTCAGAGGTTAAAGCATCTGCCTCCAATGTGGGAGACCCAGGTTCGATCCCTGGGTTGGGAAGATCCCCTGGAGAAGGAAATGGCAACCCACTCCAGTATTCTTGCCTGGAGAATCCCATGGACGGAGGAGCCTGATAGGCTACAATCCACGGGATCGCAAAGAGTCGGACACGACTGAGCCACTTCACTTCACTTTATCGCTGGATCATTGGAAAAGCAAGAGAGTTCCAGAAAAACATCTATATCTGCTTTATTGACTATGCCAAAGCCTTTGACTGTGTGGATCACCACAAACTGTGGAAAATTCTGAAAGTTATGGGCATACCAGATCACCTGACCTGCCTCTTGAGAAACCTGTATGCAGGTCAGGAAGCAACAGTTAGAACTGGATATGGAACAACTGGACTGGAACAACAGACTGGTTCATGGGGTCGCAAAGAGTTGGACATGACTGAGTGAACTGAACTGAACTGATGTCAAACAATGTTATGCTTATGTTCCCTTCTAGGATTGTGTGTGTGTGTGTGTGTGTGTGTGTGTGTGTATGTATGTGTGTATGTATGAGGGCTTACCTTTAGAACTTTAAGC